CAGTTTACAAACAAACCAAGTTGTAAGAATGACATTTAACTATTACATCTGACTATTATCAAACTGGCAGGGAGTCCAGGAAGTTGCTGTTCACAGACAGTAAATAGACTGCTCAAAGAATCAAAGGACGACTTAATTGTCACAGTACAACACCATGTCAGTTAAACTTCTGGGATATCAATCTGTCCATTTAGGGAGCACAAGTGATTCTGAACCAATTTCACCTGTTTTGGTGCCAATGAAAGTGACAACAGGTGCCACGGAGAGGCAAAAGCAAGACAGGAAATTGTTTTTTTTGCATGTGGTGGCCACAGACAATTTCTCTCTCGTTCAGTGACCTACTTGTGTACTTGTCACTACTGGTAACATTACGAGCCAATCAGGTTGCACAGGTAGTCCAGCTCCTCTAGGATGGCACATCCATCAGTGCGTTCGCAAGAAGGTTTGCTGTGTTCCAAAGCACAGTCTCAAGAGCATGTCTCCATACCAGGAGACTGCCAGTAACACTAGGAGCGCTGAACAGGGCTATAAAAGGGCAAAAACCCAACAGCAGGACCGGTATCTGGTCCTTTGTGCAAGTAGTAACATCATCATCTGTAACATCATGCAGCATGTTTGTCTGTCAGTGATGGTCTGTGGAGGTATATTCTGGATGATATCCGGTATAACAGCATATCCTCAAAGCGTTTGTCAGGACAATGCCCAGCCTCTCGGTGTTGAAGTGTGTAGGCAGTTCCTGGTTGACGAAGGCATTGATGACATTGACGGGCCCTCTCGCTCCCCTGACCTAAATCCAATAGAGAACATATTGGACGCTATCGATGCATCCGACTGGGCCAAGTATCGCTACAGACTGCCCAGGAGCTCAGTGACCTGATCCAGGTCACTTTATGTTGTAGAATTGAATAGTTGAGAGGTGCTAGAACTGAACCTTTGTACATAGCAAGGGCTAGTTTTGATTATATGTATGTGTGCTAACCTGCCAAGAGTAGAAACAAACTCTTGACAGGAAAGTATATAGGAAGGTTACCTAAAATACTGTACTATTCCTTTATTTGAAATGAAGAGAAAAACATTTAGCTTCATTTGATGATTTCTTTCTAGTTTTTTACTGAACCAGCCTTTTTATATATCTTTATATACAGAGATATGTTTTAAATTTAAATTAAATTGGGACAGTGGATGTGAGTATGTATGGGAGTTAGGGAGAATTTATTTGGGTGTGTTCTTAATTCAAATTGACAAAAGGAGAGGGCTTCAGTTGTGGGGCTCAGGTGGATGTCTGGAGTCAAGGCACTCTCTCAGACACCGGACAGGGAAACATCCCTCCATTCCTTTCTCCATCTCACTCTCTACTCTCCATTGTTTTACTCTTCAGTCACTCTTATGCAGCAATCCATTCTCCACACATTTCTTTTCTTCAATCCCAGATCTCTTTAGAATGTGCAAAGACACTTACTTACATATTTAGGTCTGACAACTGTGTTCTGTTTCCAGCTTTGGCATCCAAAAAAACCCATTGGATGCCTGATAAACATTTCTTATTTGTTTGCTCTCTTCCTCTTTCTGGAAGCCCCCATACCTCCCACACACAACACACCCACACACACTGCTCTGTCTCTCAGCATTAGCATCACTGCGAAGTGAAAAGGCCAGCATCCCCATGAGATGTGGTCTTTGTTGATGTTGTTGTTTTGAAACGTGGGGATCTGGGATGATGGTCGGGGCATCGTCGACCGTTTGAAGCCACATTGAAATAACTGGAGCAGCTCTGGATAGTTGCAGACCATAGCCTCTGCTTATTTAGCTTCAAAACATGCCTGAAGTATACTTCCTGCTTATCGTGTCAAATTCTTTCCTTCTCTGCTCTCCTTTACATGTCTGGCAGGTTCACATGCAGGACCACTAGGCTGTCCAAACATGCCAAAGAAAAATCTCGACGCCATTTCATCAAACAACTACATCCAGATCGGATCTGATATTCCATGGAGCAAACCTTAACATTCTCAAATAAATACCTCTAACCAACATGCATCTTTAAAACTGAAATTCATGAGGGATCACACACATCGTCATCAGTGCTGCCCTGTTTCACACATTCACACCTGGGAGCTGCCAGGTACAGAAACAGCCTGGTACTATTATACCACTTACTGAAATAGAGCTATTGCTGATTAATTGCCTCGCTAAAGTGCAAAATGTGAAGGGAGATAGTCATATTTTTTGCTCTCTACATCTACAAAGATGTCTTTGTTTCATTTTTCTCATAGACTGTATAATAGAAATGGATGTAACTACCGTGATGTCATTAATTTGTTTGTAGGCCCCCTATTTGACAATGTGAATTGAGAATTTTTTTTTTTCAACTGGAAATGACTGCGTTACATATCCTTGTTGGCAGGCTGCTGTAGTACTTACTTGTCAATCGGGGGTAGCCATACACTTATCATACACTGCTCTATCCTTGATTTTACTCTATATGTTTATGCTCTACGTTCATTTAACTAACTTAAACAGAGCCTTCTGTCTGTAATCTGTGTTCATTTGGTCCATATATCTGTTAGAAAATTACACACATGTCTGTATAGAAAATCAAAACTCTAAGTCAACATGGCCTCTTAAGAACTCATATCTATCAACATTGAAAACAGAAGCGAGAGAGAGAGAGAGAGCACTGTCTGAATTGCACAATTTACTCAATATTAGCTGCTTTGTATTCAAAATCAAAATGTTAGATTTTTATTAGTATTGTATCAAAGTTTTAAAATGTATTGTGACAGCTTGCTTATGTACATGGTTTTACCACATAGACTATAAAAAATGTCTTCTGCTTCTCTATAACATCCAGGTGATCACAAACCCCTCATTTGTTCATGCTAAATTAGCCCCTTACTGCCCATCAGGGATCAGATTACTCAATCCCTCATAAACTCAAACCCATTTGGGACACCTGATCAATATCTGACCCCTGAGCAGCAACCAGGGAGCCTGGGCTGGTTCTCGTGGGAAATTAGAAATGGATTCAGTGTTCTGTGGTGGGTTATTTTTTGGTTGGAGTAGATAGGAGATGAAAATGTTTCTTGTCAGTGAGGCTTGCTGTCACTGAATACGTAAGAACAAGTGCCCGGGGCAGGGTGATTCAGACGTGCTGAGGTGACGTGTAGCAGGAGTTTCCTCTGGACCATAAGATGTAACACTGACAACGCTTAATGGTCCCATCAGTTCAGGTGTTTGGGGAGGGGGGATAGGGTGATGTGCAACACTGTGAGAATGAAAAAAGTAGCCTGTAAAACATGTCTTCAACTAAGGACAGTTTATGTACCTCACCTGGATTGATTCAAAGATTGGCAAAATCGAAATCAGACTTTAATGCTGGAAGTGTCACATGGAACATCAATCCATTGAGCCACTCAGAACTGCTATTAAGTTGGCCTAATAGCAGTCCTCTTCTATTTGTGTGTATATATACTAGGGATGGGAATTTACAGTAATCCCTGTACTTGATTACTCGAATGACCAAATGAATGAGTACTCGAGTACCCGCAGATTATTATTATTTTTTTTATGCCTGTAAAATGACATAAACATCCAATATTTAAACATAAATATACAACAGAAAGCGATTTCAATTACCATTTTGGTTATTAGCAGGCTAATCTTCTCCGCTCTGGTTTCGTCACAATGACGTGTGCTAACAGGGCTAGCAAATGACGTGATGCGAGACTGCCTGTTTTCTGTCTCCGCTGTTTTCTCCTTGTGCTGTAAGCGCATGTGGTTAAGCATCGAACTAGTATTTCTATGGTATGCAAGTTTAACGCCACATATCTTGCACTGCACATTAACTTCATCGTTTTTGTTTAAGTACTTCCAGACATCACTTTTCTTGACTGACATGTCGCAGGTGTAGCAGACGGTTTTGTATTTGTTGTGCTGCCGTAAAACAGTTATTTTTGCTGAAATCTGGCTGGGTGTGTACTAAAGCTGAAGCCCTGGCCGGAAAAGTCATACGTTTGTATCCCATTAATTATTTCCCACCTAGTATATTCAGTTAGGCGAAAACAAAAAGATGGGTCACACATGTAACGCTGATTGAGTTCAAGTTTTGTAGCCAAAAGCAGCACTTCCACAGGTGCGCGAGTAACGAAATGTTACTCGAATAATGGGGTCAACGGTGAGTACTCGTACCCATCCCTAATATATACGTATATATAGTAGATACGTGTGTGTGTGTGTGTGTGTGTGTGTTATGCTACTGACAACATGACACCTGCACTGAAAGTTTTGTGAAACTGATATGAGTCATTAGTGTCTCTTGGGACCATTTCACACTCTTAGTGTTTATTTCACTCTCTTTGTGAGGATGTTTGTTCATTCATTCGTGGACATCTTTTTGCATGTCTTTGACAGGGCTTTGGTTTCTATTGGTTGCTGTGCGTTAACAGTCATTTTGCTCCCTTCGTGATAGTTTTGGCCATCTTTAGTCATACATTATTTCTTTGTGGTGATTTCAGAATTTTTGTATGTCTTCATGTATTCAGGCCTTTTTTAAAGATTGTTTCTAGTCTCTTTCATCAACATTTTGCTCCATGACTCCTAAGGCCCCTGGGAGTTTGTCCAATCTGCACATTTCGTGTTTCATGCATGCATGGTCCTTATTGCTGTTTATGAAACTGCATGTCAAATATCCAGGACCTTCATAACATCATAGAAAAGAATCCCCTGGGGAAGCAAAGCCTATAGCATAGTCCGTCAACACACTGTCCATCAATAATGGCATCTGTCCATTTCCACCCATCTACGTGCTAATTTTGTGAGAAACAACTTCATCAGCCGCAGAAATACACCCCCCTCCTCTACGTTACAGCCTTATACTGTACGTGTAGGGGTCTTCACGTCACAAGCCTCCCTGCTCCCCTCCACCACCTCCCATCATGGCCAGCTTTCATATCCCGGAATAAAATATAAATAAATAAGCGAAAAGGGAGAGCGTCTCGTCTTACCCATCTGTGCCCGTGTCGGATGTCTTTCAGAGGTTCATGGTGGATGAGAGCCCTGCTGATCCGATTCTGCTCTGGCAGTTTTGCTGCAGGAGCCGCTAAACCATCGCATTGGTGATGCTGGAGTCTCGGTGATAACCAGGGGGCCGGGGGTCTCTCTCTTTTTCCCAGGTTAGACTTCAGTCATCCGGCTGGGTTTACCCCCGACTACTCCGTTTATGCACCGGATCGGTTTCGCCGATGATCGTCCCGAGAAGGACTTAAGAGTGGATCCTGTCCGTGGAAGTGATGGCACAGCCTCCTCTCTTGCATCTGATGTGTAGCCTCTTGTGTGAAATTCTACCGAGTAAAAGGTGTAAAAGAGTGAAAATAGAAAACAGCGAGCGGCCGAGTTGCGCAAAAATGATGAGCTGAACGGCGCAGAAAAGGATGGAGATGAAGAGATGAGGAATGACACGGGGGGGGTCGATCGCCGCTGTCTGTCGTCCTATTCGCCGTTTTCTGTCGTGTTTACGAGCCGCTGTCGCCTCCTCCCTCCCTCCTTCCTTTCTCAGTCTCTTCTATACCTCTCTTTCTCTCTCTCTCTGATGCGTCTCCCTCGTTTCCGTCCTCCGCGCTGCACCCGGTGTGACGCCTTTTCCGCTTGTAAGAAAAAAAAAAAACAAGATCCCCCGCGCGCCCTCTTCTCTTTTACTCCTTTTTCTTCATCTTCTCCCTCTCTGGCTCCAAGTCAGAGTAGGGGAGGTGGAGACGAGTGAGTGTGTGTGTGAGGGGGCAAGTGGGAGAAAACGAAGGGACTGGAAGGAGGAGCCCCACGAGAGGAGAGCTCCTCCCAGTTATGCTGCTTATCAGGACGAGGGGGGCGCATCCTATGATGAGATGTAGGGAGATATAAATAAGGAAAAGGGGGGGGGGGGTTGGGTTGTCTGTAATGAACTTCTGCAGGGGGTCTAATCAGAGAAGAAGACTGTTATTACATATTTTGTGCAATTGCTGCTACTTCTCATGTAATTATTCAGTGAGCAAGCTCAATACTCAAATTATATCCAATCATCTATACGTTCTGCGTTAATGAAACAGCGTCAAATTCTGACCGCTGCAGAGCCCCCATGAGGTTTAAGTTAAAAACACAAAGCCGCAAAATATAGCCCAATGCAGTAGGGCTGTATTGTTTCAGGCTAATATTGGAGACCATATGTCAATTTCTTCACAGCTGTTCCATAAATTAACTCTTTGTTGTGATACAGTGTTTCACATTGTTGGTCCTTAGTCCTTTTTTAACATACAACCTCCTCTGAGATTGTGTTCTCTGCTGAAAAAACCTTTGGATACTGTTTGGTACCTGACGATTGATAAAATAGTTATGAAGTCGACCAGTTTCTAAAAGTAGTTTTACTTAGGTTCAATGTTATTTATTTTTAATAAACCAACTCTTCGGTTTCTTTAATGTCTTTCTAACTGTATCCAAAAGAATTTTCATGCTGTCTCCACATCAAAGTACATATGTGTCCTTTGCAAATAAAATTGTCAATAGAGTACACATACATTTTTAATGATAAGAATAAAGAATAATGGCCCCAACATTGAACCTTGGGGAACTCCACACTTTACCTTCATCAGTTCTGAATTTATCCCTGATTGACCTGAACATATTAATATTTTTTTTGTAAGTAACTGATGAGCCAAGTGATTGTTACTCCTCTTATTCCATATATCTGTAGATGTATTTTTAATAAGTCACAGTCAACTGTGTCAAAAGCTTTTTGTAGATCCAGGGAATTTAAACAGCTATAGCTGTCTCTTCTACAAGTTATTCGAGTGCAATTGAAGTGGTCTCGTTATTTCTAAATCCATAATATTGGACATACAGTTGTGCTTTATAAGAAATAATATTTTCTTAAGTAGTATATTTTTCCAGTATTTTAGAGAATTATAACAGTAAAGAGACCTGCCAGTAGTTGGAGAAAATGTGTTTATCTTCTGCTTTATATACTGGAAAAACCTTAGCGACTTTTTATTTGATTTGTGAAGATGCAAGTTTTCAGGGATTGATTGCAAATATATGTAAAAGGTTTCACCACACAGCCAATCATATTTTTCAACAATGACATGTCAATATTTCTGCAGTCTGTTGAGTTTTTACTCTTTAATCCATTAACAACATCAATAATTTCTCTTTCATCGGTGCCTTCCAAAAACATTAGTCTCTGTTACATTGATATTTTTATTCTATTGCTAGTGATTACCATCTTGCCAGACCTGGACCAACACCAACCTAAAATTCATTGAATGCATTAAGATCATTTCATTGATATTTTAATTGTTTTTAGTTAGGAAATAGTTTGGTTTTTCCAGACCTGTTTGTAGTAGTTAAACAGAAATGTGTCATAATACTTCTTTTGCATCTTTCAGATAGACTTTGCCCAAGTCCTGGCTCATGATATATTTTTAAATGAGTTAATTGTCTCTTTGTAGTGATTCTACACAACACACATGACTTCATACTTCATGTAGCTAACAGGCATCTTGATTAGTGTTAAAGAATAAACAATATTTGAGAATATACCTAATTTTTCAAGCACTCGTCATCTACAAAGAGACAGTTGTTAATAGAGAAAGAAAGCTAAACTGTTGTCAGATGTCTATGTTTTCCTGCATACAGACAAAGCTCAAACATGATTGGTTCCTAGCGCTAGGACTACAAAAGAAACCAGTATGCTGCTAACACCAAAAATCAAATATATGCAGATATCTAATGGTGGTTCTGGAGGAAGACTCTGGGGTTGACCATACGACAGCCTCTTCTGGAGACCAAAAATGTCTTTTGCCTACATAAATTTTGTGCCAATCTTTTAAACAGAGATAATTCAGAAAGTAAAAGCTTTTACTTTGTGCTCGAGGCAAAATCATTAAATGAGAAAATTTGAAGATAACCCATTCAATAGATACTTAAGTCTGGGTCAAAAGTGATGATCCACAGATATCCAGACACGTGCCGCTAGCATTAATACAAATAAAAACTGGTAAAAAAAAAAAAATAGAATACATTTAAAAACAGGCATCATAACAATCACTGCATGCTATGTTAACTTTTAGATTTGAGCCTTGTACATGAGCTGGATAATTCTAGGAGTCATCAGAGGCTCAGATGCACTTCTGGGAAGTTTTCCAGCTTTTGACAGTTTGTGGAGACAAACTGGTGTTTGGTAATGTTTTACAGTGCATATTTGTTATAATTTGTTCAGTACTGATGCTCCAACCGTCATAGCTAACAGTTGCGAGGCTCTGCTATGTTTAATAATAATTACTCTTGGAACAGACTTGACCTTTTTTCACATTTCAAACTATCTTCATCCAGTGGAAACATGTGTTATGATCATGAGCGGATTTTGATATTGACTTTTAAGGCACTATTGTGTTGGCCAATTGTCAAATGTATAACTGATACAATTGACACAAAAAATATCTAAGGCATTGTTTTTAGGCTTAGTATCAAGTTACAATCAGGTATCTATCTGTCAGTCCATCTCAGTGTCCCTTCACCCTGAAAGGATCCCATTTAAAAGGCAATATATTAAACACTTTGATATTTACAACTATTCAATCACCATGTAAGAACATCCTCTAAAGGATATCAGACCAGTTTTTTTTGCAGATTAATGAGAAGGCTCACATTTAAAACCTAAAACTGTAACAGTTTGTTTGAGTGTCAGGATTCAACAGTTTCCCTTACATCATACTGCCTCTTTCCACTCCTGTCCTGTTTGTCTCAGGTTCTCTTTATTAATAATCACTTTTTTATTTATATAGCACCTATCTAAACAAGTGCTTTTAAGGTCATAGCTGTGGGTTCTTTCCTCTGTTGTTAATGCATTCAAACACACAGCAGCATTCAAGCCTTTTTCCATTATTTGCCAACAGACGAAACATACACACAGATACAAAGTCAGTCATATAGAAACTAAGCACTTGAATGAGTATCGCTAAAGACCACATTTAACAGAAGTATGCCAGAACAAAGCAGCAAGCTTCTTACGCCCATGTGAAAACCCCGCTTTCTCTAGTTTGACAACATAAGGGAAATGTGGATCTTATTTCCTAGTTGCAGTCTAGGTGACTACTGCATATAACACAGTTATATGTGGCCCTCCAAATGCAGAATGTAAAATATTCAGCAAAAGAGCCTTCTCAGATGACACTGGAGATATGAAGGTTACAGAAGACTTTGATCAGGGGCCGAGGAAGAACTGAAATGTTACTGTTGGCAGAATTCACCTCCACGACCACCGAGCTTTTCCTCAGATAAAATTCCAGAGTGACAAGAGAGAAATCCGGAGTTGGAGGCAGAAATCTGGAGCAGAACTCAAGGCAGAGTTATGGAGACGCGTGTTGATAAGGAGTGCATAATCTACATAGTATGGTTTACATCTCTGAGACAAAATGTAAAAAGATTTTTATAGTGTACTATTTCTGTGGTATAAGCAAAACACTGTGGGATAGAAAAAGTAACCAAACCCCAAAACATTTATCAATGTTTCAAAGCTTAATGACCTACAATAAAAGATTCTTGGAAACACATATTCTGTCTTGCCAAGGGTTAGATGAAACAGATAAATTCTTCTGTCATTTCTGCCTGCTCAATTTTAAGAAGGGAAAGGGGGGTTTGACAGTTAGGCCGACCCTGGTCAATGTTGAAATAGAGATTTTTGACTTGCAGATGTAAACCTCCACAGAGATACAAGAAGCAGAGCGAGAGCAAGTGACAGACAGAGAGACACTTTCCTCTACTCTATCACGGATACTTTCCTCAGATGGTTTATAACGAGATAGAAATAATCAAGATATATAAAAATCCCCATCAGGCATCAGAGTGGTCATTTGTGTCCCTTGTATAACTGATAAATGATACGTTGTGTTCATAAGAATGGGATGAGAATGATAACCAGAACAGAGTTTATCCTGGACATTTTGAAGTCAGTCATTTTTCACCTTGTGTTTAAAAAGATTCATCACTTGGCTAATTTTATCCTTTTATAAATCATTTGTGTGCAATTGTGTTTAAATCAGGGTTTGAATCAAACAAAGCCTTTAACAGATCACAGTGGCCTTGAACCTTTCGCCATAAAATTCAGTTCATCCTTGAGTGGAAGTAAATGTTTGTGCTATATAGTATGTAGCTGGTTTAGGATGCTAACAAAATGAGTCTGTTGGGTTGACTGCTTCAACTGGTGGGTAGGCTGCTTCGTCAGCCATGTTACCAAGAATCACACTTTAGTGTTATCACGTCACCTTTTTATTCATTCCTTCCTCACAGCTAACTGGAATAGTATTTCATCAGCAGCCATGGAACACAACAACCAATCTCCCGCTCTTTCATCTCGACGTAAAATAGGTCGCAAAACATAACGCATCACAACAGGAAGTCACGTCATGAATAACAAAATAAGATCTCAACATGTACACTGTTCTTCAAGTGCATACAAAATAAACGTTGTATAAAACATATACATATGAACACTGTAAGTCAAACTATACATCACATCATGTATATTTATGTGAATGAGAACATTAAACTCAACAGAGTCACACCTATCACAGTGCTGCAGAGGCAGAGATGTGAATAAACATACTTTACCCTTTGAAGACTCCAGAAAGGTATTGATCCCATACATAATAACATAAAACTATTATTCATCCCTGAAACATTGTTGATTTTATTTTCATTAAAAAAAAATA